CTTATAGCTTCGATCCCAAGCATTGCACTATTTTTTTTTTTTAAAGCTGTTTTCTGATGACGACTGAAAGAGAGAAAAAAGCAGCGGTTAATAGAAGGCCACAGAGCTGCTTAAATATTAAATGGATGGTCAGTGGTGACGCTGAAAACACAATCTTCTTTTCTTACGGCTTTGCATCCCAATCCACATGGTTATTGTCTGGTCAACAAAACAGCCAGGGGATTTTGGTTTCTGAAAGCCCTCTGCAAATGTCAGTCTCAGTAGAGTTTCAGTGGATGTCTGCTATGTATTTGTTGCTTTCTAAAATTTCTGTTGTGGAATTCAACCCCCAGTAAATTACTATGCATAATAATTGTTAAACATTTGCCTCTTAAAGCTTCTATTAACGTTGTATTGTGTGGATTGCCTCGACATTCAGTGCCACTATGATGTTTATGTCTTTTTGATTCAAATGTGACAATGATTGGATGCAATGGCGGCTATGGCTCAGTTGCTAGGGTCAGTCGTCTCTTAACCTGTGGTAGAGGGTTCAATTCCCAGCTCCTGCAGCCTGCACTACTACCACCTGATGTCCCTGACGCCCAGCCTCCACCATTGCACTGTGTTGTCCCTCAACCCCCCGCCAGACGACCTCCACCTCTGTTGTCCACATAGCTACGGCCGTCCTCATGCATGCACGGCTTGCTCCGACCTCCACCTCAGCAGCAAGGAAGTGTGGACAACAGGAACACACGGACTACAGAAAGCAGATTTTTTTTAATCAGTGTGCTTGTGTGGCCATCTTATATCATCTCATATACAACACTGGGAATGCAGTATTATTTTCATCTTCCACTGGTTACCTATAGATACAACCAAAAGCCTGATCATTTGTGACATCACATTGGAGAGACTAATGCCTAAAGCGAGACTTCAAGGTCATGTTAGCGTTTTACAAAATGAAATGCTGACAGGAAACGTGAATTAGAGATGCAAAGTTACCGTCGTCCATATGAGCGTCACATGAGCGTCACATGATTGCAGCTGTGAGGGATAAATGTTTAGACCAATCAGAACATGAATCATAGCAGGGACGCGGGAAGCCATTATAGGGCGGGCAGTAAGCAATGTTACAAAGCTCAACTTTATATGCAGCAATATCTTTGAGGGGGGAGACTTCATCCAAAGCAATCACATTTACCGTTTTAATACAAGTGTAGATGATTGCATGTTCACCTCAGGCGCCATCAGTCATGACTACAGATAAATACACTGAGTGAGTTATTATAAACACCAAGTGGTGCACGGCTGTATGATGCAGAGTTCTTTAGCGGGTGATGTCTTCTTGGTGTATGAGATGAAGAAGCTGATTGAACTGTGAAGACTTGGGAAGATGGTTGATGATGTCATCTGAGACTGATGGTACAAAAGTTGATCTAACTGAAGAATGGGGTTGACTGGAAAGGCTCAAGATATGATCTGAGGCTGAAGGGATGAAGAGGGTAACCAAACTGGGAAGACTTGGGGCTGTCCGGACGACTGCAAAGGCTTGGTGGTGATGGGGAGGTGGACGGTCACAGGTAACGATTGCATAAATGAACTGGAAGAGAAAGACACACCCGAATTTCCCCTCTGGGTATCAATCAAGTATTATCCTATCCTATTATCCTATTTAAAAATGACAGCAGGAATATGATAGGCTAACAATGAAGGACTGGAGCAGGGCTATTGGATAGATGTGACCAGGTCTTATTATTAGTTTGCACAGATGACAAGAAAACATACAGTTGGCATAAGAGTTGACATTGTACTGTGGTCATCTTTTGTAAACCCCATTCCTGGCTTCTCACGCCCATCCCAGTTAACCCCATACCCACCCACCGAGTCAGGAATCCTACTCCCATTCCGAAGGTAGCCTGTTCCCACAGTAGCCTACCCAGGAGTCTCATTCACACTCATGCATACTAGGACAAGGAGCAAGAAGAGAGAGGAAATAATAAATGAAGAAAGTAAATTAAGAAAAAAACATTAGAAAAAAAACCGAATTAATTGTTTTTTATATATAAATAAACAAAACAGACACAAAACAAAACAAAGCAATACTTCAAGATAGTTCCTTAAATAATTCCATTAGACATCCAATTTGCAGGGTAAGACAACATTAATTAGGTTTGAATTTTTTTATTTGGAGGGGAGAGAGAGAGAGAGAGAGAGAGAGAGAGAGAGAGAGAGAGAGAGAGAGAGAGAGAGAGAGAGAGAATAGAGAGAGAGAGAGAAGAGAGAGAGAGAGAAATAGAGAGAGAGAGGGAGAAAAAGAGAGAGAGAGAAAGAGAGAGAGAGAAAGAGAGAGAGAGAAATAGAGAGAGAGAGAGGGGGAGAAAAAGAGAGAGAGAGAAAGAGAGAGAGAGAGCTACTTTTAAGGCATTTTTACCTCCTTAAAAAAGATGGCTGAAACAGTTACACTATCACATTTTAGTGTTAAACAGGTAAATTGCTGTGACGTAAATCACTCTTTTATAGTGGTTAGAGATTTATTTTTTATTGTGCCACCTGAAAATTCAGAGGTATTCATCCTATCAGAAGTGGAATACAACAATGAATACTAAGTCTTTTCTATATACCACTGTATACTGCACATATTCTAGCAGAGGAAATGACTATATACTGTAGACCACCAGCAATCTATGGCTGATTTTCAAGGACAGGTACACACAGTACGGTAATAACACACAGGTCATTGCTGTGCTATGTTGTCTGGATTTATCAGACTGTTAGTTTATTTTTCAGAATAAATCCCTCCTTTATGTTACAGTTAGGTGACGCAATTTCCCGAACTAAATAAAGCCCCGCCTACTTTTAAACCTGAGCAGAAGTCCAATCAGCCAGAATAATGACAAACACCTGTGTGTGGTAATGTGAAGAAGCTTGGCCAGCTTCATATTCAGGGTTTCACAGTTTAGATGTTATCGGGCCACCAGCATGCCTCTTGTTGTCCATGTTTGTTAAATGTCCTTTATAATTGATAACTGAACGTGATGGCACTGTTCAGTTTCCCTCCCTCAGGTTTTTTATTCATTTCATTCTTCTGTAATACATAACTTTAATTTACCAACACCATCTGGTTTTTATGTTTACTTCCCTTTCCCCCCATGAGCTGACTCAAAAAGAAGGTAGGCTTTAATCCTTTGATTAAATCTGTAAAATAAGTATCAATTCAAATACACTTTCAATGCATGCATACACTTTTAACTAAATAGTTTAGGAAATCAGTTCAGTGAAGTTCTGCCAGGTTAAAGTGCCCTTGAATTAACCTTTGTTTTGTAATTTATTTAGAAAATGATTATAGGAGGTAAAAGACGAGTCCTATCGTAAGCTCTTATAGCCCTCTTTTTACAAGGTGTATATCCATTACCTTGCTCAAGTGTGTTTAGATTTGTTTTAAATCACTGGATGTGGATAGAGGTGTGCTTTAGGTGTTTTTAGTGACTGACCCCTCTCAAGATTATAACAGACCTGATTTTAATGTCATGATGCTGAGGTGCCTGCGATGTGTGCACAGACTGAAAGTAAACTGGGATTTAGATTAAATCAAAATCTGATAAATACTAGTTTTATTGTTTATTGGGGCAAAATCAACTGAAAAGGCATTCAGTGTCAACTAACTAACTAACTCAATCAATATTTATTTGTATAGTGCCAATTCATACAAATGTTTATCTAAAGACTCTTTACAAAAAGCAGGTAAAAGACCTTACTCTTGGTTATATTATCTACAAAGACCCAACATGAATCCATCATGAGCACTAAGCAACATTTAGCAAAGTTACAGTGGAGAGGAAAACTTCCTTTAAGAGGCAGTAAAACCAGACTCATGATGAACAGACATCTGCTGAAACTGTGTTGAGGTTGTAAAGTGGGATAGAGGGAGATGCAGAAAGAAGGATTGAGAGCTACAGAGCAACAACAATGAATAAGATGTCAGTAATAATGGTAAAAGAATGTGCAGTATTAGTAGCAGCTAAGAGTGATAGGCTGCTGATTTATTTAACTTTTTTTAACCCATGCTTATCCAGTCACATGGTATGTTCATTATTTATGGGGGCAAATAAACTCCACCTTTTTTTGTTTGCATTGAGCTTTGTCTTTACTTCAACATTTCCTTTGATAATGTCAATTACACATTTACCCTTGGCTTCGCTAGTGGCTCGTGCATCTATACCATCTATTGGGCAATTAAGTGTCCACCCAATCAGAAGTCAGGATAACTACTAAAGAAGCTCAGTGGTAGGCGACATGGTGATGTAGTGTCTGCAAATTAGTGTTAAGAGGGCGTGCATGCAATTATTAAGATTGAGATTTACTTTTATTGATCCCGCAAGGGGAAATTCAGTTTTTACACTCTGTGGTCATGAACACACACACAGGCTGAAATATACCCATACACAAACAGGATGTTATGAACATGCACTAATGGAGAGATGTCAGAGTCATGAGCTGCCCACAGCACGCGCTGCCCACAGCACGCGCTCCTGAGCTGGTGGTGGGGAGTGGGTTTGGTGCCTTACTCAAGGGCACCTCTGCAGTGCTCAGGAAGTGATCTAGCACCTCTCCAGCTACCAGACCAACTTCCATATTTGGTCCGCACCGGGACTTGAACAAGCGACCCTCCGGTTTCCAACCCAAGTCCCTACAGACTGAGCTACTGCCGCCCATTATATATTAATTCTATAAGGCAGAGATAATACTTTTGGTGGGGGGACCCACAGGGCACTCGGTTTGTCCTGTTTGTTATGTATGCTCAGCCATTACACATCCATTTGGACACATTATTGATCAATTACAGTAAAGGGGTCAAACGCATTAGCATCCACACACACAGAGAATGTAAAGGGTGAAACGTAAAAAAAATCAAAAACAAAACATGTGATTGATCTTTTAATGACATACAAGAGGCGCTTGTTTCCGACACTATGAGAGCCCGTCGGTGTACCACACACTCCCCCCCCCCTCACTCGCTCAGCCCGGCGGATGAGAGCGCAGCCGAGAGACCGAGGCATCATCCTGCGTGGAAACAGCGAGGAGGGGAGGAGAGGAAACGGAGCGACGGAGAGATGGCGAGCGTCAACATGGGGCCGACACCACCGCTGCTGCTGCTGGGGCTCTCATGGCTCCTTCTGGCCGCGCTGACGCCTTTTGTCCGGGGTCTGAACGGCGACGAGGACCAGAACCAGGACACCGAGTGCAAGATGAAGAGCGTCACCGTGTCCGCGCTGCCGTTTCTGAGGGAGAACGACCTGAGCATCATGCACAGTCCGTCGGCCTCGGAGCCCAAGCTGCTGTTCTCCGTCAGGAACGATTTTCCCGGAGATGTCGTGGTGGTGGACGACCTGGAGAACACCGAGCTTCCCTTTTTCGTCTTGGGTGAGTTTTTTCGTGACAACACGCCAGTCTCCGCGCTTCATCAGCCGCTAATTGGACCCGCTAAACCCCCCTGACTCTTTACTATTACACCGGAGCATCTGTCTATTAGCTTAGGCCTGGCTACACACCATGTTTTCACTATTCTCAATTGCTATTCCCGCTATATGACTACCAGAATTGACATTTTAGCGCATGTATCTGCGTCTTTATTGCAATATCACTCCATGAAATGATGATAACACTGTGACTGGCTACATCAACACTTAGCACTTCTGGATGCAATATCAGGCCAAGTAGCATCCTCATGCTAACACAACTCCACTCAAAAATATAGAGAGCCTTAATGTTGTTAAATATGAGCGACAGTGTAATGCTTTGTGTGTTCCTTCTTGTGTTTATCGTACCTAATGCTGGCATACACACGTGTTTCTGTGAGCTACATGTGAGGGAATGTTTGTTTGGAGACCAAGCAGGCGTGCTACTAAACTTCTCTGAGTTGTAACTCCTGGACTCATGTCTCCATGTTCATGTATGGTCTCTTTAAGTGCTGGCTGTGACTCAGGTGTCGTTAATTGATTTAAGACACGCGAGAGTTCACGCTCTCGTGTTAGTTTATGTCCTTAATTTAAATTAGCTTGACTCCTGGTTGCTTCCCAAGGAGTCCACGATGAGTTTGATATGAAGGTAAGTTTGAGTACGGCGGGTTTGGCAGAGGCCGGTGAAGTTCGCATTGTGAAAGTTAGCTGGCCGCTGTCCATGGTGCTGAACCTCATCTGACCAGCTGCTGCTGCTGTGAGCAATGAGACTGCACCGTGTGGTTAAAGTCGTCATATTTATACACCCAGTGAGGATTTAGTGTGTGATAAGGTGTTGTTTCTGATGGCTCTGGGCCTGATCGTGCAAACATGTTGTTATTCTACTGACCAAGCAGAGTCAGCGTTGACCAGGAAACAGTGTGTGTTCGCTGTTTCTCTTTATGTCTCTTTGCTATAACTTTTTGATGCATCTGCCTGTTTGAATTGCATTTTCCTACATTTACATGGAACTGTTTTATTGTCTGTAGTGAGTTTTAAATGTGTCAGATGTCTCTGAGGCTGCAGTTTGAGTACACCATACCCATCCATTAATTCAGGCACAGAAAACCTCTGACTTATTTTTTACTTTTTCAGGGTAGTCTGAACAACAGCATGAACGACACAGATTCTCCCCAGAACTTCTCATAAATACACAATTTTAGTCGCCATTTAATTCATGTGGGATTTGCATTTTTCTCCTTTTTAAAAAATGTATTTTTAACTCTGTCGGATATTCTTGGTACAAGGCTGAGACGGAAAGGAGTCAAGATGTGGAGGAAGAATAGGGGTTGACATGCAAAACTAAATTGTAGTATGGCTGCACTTAGTTTGATTTCTTGTTGTCCAGCATCTTAAACCAATGAACCATCTGTACTACATGGGGAAATCTGACATTTAAGCTGTTGCAGTATTACAAAAAAAAATACATCACTGTAAATCCTACAGCTTAAAATCATTTGCATTCAGGATTTATTCAATCCCAGCAGCCACAACATCAGATGATGCTGAAATAGTTCTGAAAATACTGTGTGTATGGTTTTATTATAGCTGTACACTGAAAGGGTTTTTTCCCCTTGTGACACACGTGGGATAGAGGGAGATGCAGGAGGATGGAGACAAACAGAGCAACAACAACAATAAATAAGAGAGATTTATAGCTACAATGTCGGTAATAATGGTAACTATAGTGTAGTATGAGCAGTAACATCTGAAACAGGAATGACTGATTATTGAAGTTAATTATTTACCTTCCAGTCTGAGCTCTGCAGGTAAAGCAGTCCACATGTTGATTGATGTTACACAGTGGCGCTTCCTGCCTCATAAAGGATCTTTGTTTGAGTTATGAACAAGGTTACAGAGTAGATATTTCTACAAACGTAGTCATTGCAATGAGAAGCATCTTAATTAGAGATGCACGATCACCTTTTTTTCAGTTCTGATCTGATTTCGATACATATGTACCGATACTGATTTTGAGATTTGTATTATCATGACTAATAGAGATATTGTTGTTGGTACTATGTGTAAGGCTACACAAAGCTGTACTTTTGATCATAAATTGAAGCTCTGTCATCTCATCTGAACATCACCATGGAGACAATTCGTGGACACTTCTTACAGTTTAGTGTGAAAGTCTTCACAGTGAGACTGAGCGAGCTGAGAATGTTTAAAGTGCCCAATCATCTTTCTTGATCAGTGATGTGGATTGAGGCCGTCTGTCCGATATGCGATACGTAAATTACATCAATATCGGACCCGATGCAGATATTATATCAGATCGGTCCTGTCTCTAATCGTAATGTTTGCCACACCACTGTTTGCTAATGAGAGAGACAGTATACATGTTCACAGAGTACCAGGTTTGGTAGAGCTGGGGAATCCTTTCACCAACAAGTGTCTGACCTATGAGCCACCTCTATGTGCCAAAATAATTTTAACACTCTCACTCTTATTCGTAGTCACATATGCAGGACAAGCTGTTGTCAAGATGAGCAGCAAAGCAAGAAGAGCAAAAAAACCTCAAAATAACAACTGAAAGGGTCAAGTTTTTATTGGCACATTTCACTCAATAAAGGTACAACAGAGATAAACCAATGGTGTGGACAGTGCCCCCCCCCCCCCACTCAGTCAATTTATTTTGACTGGTCTCAGTCAAATAAACATACAGTGAACATCTCACACTCCTGAAGCACTGTATCCTGAGGCACTGAGGTCATTATGGTGGAAGTCTGGGATGCTGCATCTCTCCACAGATTGAGAACTGTGGACTTGGCTTTATCCAATTCAAGCATCACTATATCATGGATATAGGCTAACCACTGCTGGATGCTGAGCGATTGAATCAAACCCTTATCTAGATTAATGTCAAAAAGAAACATATTTACAGATTCATAAGATCATGTTGAAAGCTTGTTTATCGAATGGACGAAAAAGTTCAAAACTCAAACAAAATAAACAAGAATGTAAAAATCTAAAGCAGCAAACCCTCACATCTTAGATCCTCTAACAGGCAAACTTTTGCTCCTTCCTTGACTAACTTACCTGAAACTTTTTGACACTTGATGCTTCAGACATCTTTGGTTTCCAGGATTGTCCAGGATCTGTACAAAAACTTAAGACAAAGAAAGACTGTCAGACTTCCAATCAAGACGAGCAGCTACAACAGAGAGAGTCAGAGCAGAAACTTGACATCAGAGCTGCTGTTTTATTGAGTGGAAGCTCCAGAAAACAGACGTTGGAGAAGTATTACAGTACCTAATCGAGCCCACAATCAGCCTGATTCCCCTCCTTCCGACAAACGTCAACAAAGGCCCGATTATCTGATGGATCCAAAGATTATCTTGCCAGATTCTCCTGTGGTGTGAGGTGTGTTAAAAGTGATTTTAAGCCTCCCAAATCGGCTTGGAAGACGATAGGAGCCGCCCCGATTTGAAATCCTAAATATTCAATATTTACGATCAGAAATCCTGTTGTTTTTTTAAAGATTTAATTTTGGGCTTTTTGTGCCTTTAATTGAGAGATAGGACAGTGGATAGAGTTGAAAATCGAGAACACCGAGGACGGTCGAGCATGGACTTAAAATACTTAATGAGGAACCCTGCACAACATTAATCATAATCGATTGTGACAACAACACAAGTGTGTTTATACAACGTGTCCTGTAAAACAAACCACAATACAACTGACAAGGAAAGGAGTTGGACCAAAAATGTTTACCATAATGGATGTACCAGCTAACAGCTAGCCACATTTAGCTTGCCCATCTTGTTTGTTTACTCTTAAGTCACGTTTGACTGCGCTAGATTACATGTTTTGAATGTCGAGACTCTGGCAGTTGGTGAATGAATGTGTGTGATGTGCTGAGTTGGTCGTCTCGTTGCTCAACACACACTGAAGAGCTGAACTTTAAATCTGTCATGATTTGTCGTCATGTATGGGCTCTCATATTTAAACATGGTTAAGTGTGTGCCAGGCCTTAGCTTTGTGAGCCGCTCTCACTGGAGATCTGCTCTGTAGTGTTTAACTTCACATCCTGCTGCAGAATACACAACCCCAACATGTGTGGCTGTTTTAATTAAAAGTCACACTGATGTTGAGAGCCATCCTGCGATGTTCCCTCATGGTGTTTTTATTATTGCTGACTGTTTATGCCATGAGACCGCGGTGACTCTTTGAATAGCTTGAATAGTTAATTTAAAGGCCTCATTTAGACGACGGTTAATTCATTATGGGGTGTGGGGGAAATAAGCTGAGCACTAACAGATCTCTCATGACTGCATTAGCAGTCATAAGAGAGAGAGGGGGGGGCAATTGCAATACCACATTTAGCATCCCTGCCTCCTATCACCGACACTGGAGCCGCTACACACTTTAATTTCTTTGTTTTCCTTTGTCCTTATGTATCCAGGAGAACCAGCCCTCTCCACTTGTTGTTTTCATGTCTTCTCAACAAACACAATCAATGCTACATTAACATGGTGTGGCTGCATTGATAAGCAGCAGCACTTGCATTGAAGTCAGTGTTTCAGCAGCACTGTGATAAGATGCTGTCTGGACACTGGGGTGTGTAAACACTGAACTCTTCCCGGCTGATGTTAAAGGCTCCTCTAAAGTGGCTGTTTGAGGATGCAATAGACTCGTTATGATTAATGTTGCACATGCTTCCTCTTGGCATATTTTCATGTTCCTTTTAACAGGATAAGAAAAACAAAAAGTCAGCAAACACACGCATCAATTGTTCAGGTGCTGAGTCATCATAAAAATAAATCCTTCGGATACAAACAAAAAGACTCGTTTCAATGTGGCTCCTAAAAATATCACGTTTGTTTTATTTCTTTACCGGAAAATTGGGGGGATCTCACAAAGAGAAAAGAGGTTTAAACTGTGTTCCTGCATGAATATTTATTTTGTGATCAGTCTACATGG